TCCTAATTTTCTACTGGGTTTACGTTGAATGAAAACTTAAACGACTAAATGTAATGTAATGTTTCACGGAAAATTTTATTTTTATATGAACCTTATTCTTTTTTTATATTCATGCATTTACTATAACGTATGCACTTCTTGCTTGCCTGCTGCGTATGCTTTTCTCTGACAAAACATTTACTTGAATTCGATGTTATATTACATACGAACGGTAGCACAAAAATGCTTTTTATTGCATATAAAATTGCATAGATTAAAAAGTCTATAAATTATAACACGCTTCTTTATTATCAAATTATGTTACTAATAATTAATTAATAATGATTAAAAATTGTTTAACGAGATAATATATCGTTACATTATAATAAATGAGATATTATAATAAATGAGATATTAACAATTACGAATTACGAAATCAGCAGGTGATTTATTTACGTGCATAATTCTCCTTTCTCTTTCGCTCTTTTATTTCTCGTTACGAGACGAATGAAACTCTCGAAATGCGGTAGAGATACGTCGTCCAAAGCTTGTATATTTGCGATCTCGTCCGCTATTTCTCCAATTCAGGAATTGCTCGGCGTACGTCATGCCGCTTCCGGGAGTGCGGCAACGAACCCTAGGGGCACAATAAAACTGCATCTAAACAACGTCAGCAACGGGGTAGGATAAAATGTGGAAGAAACTACGAGGGGTAGAAGAAAAGAAAAGGGCGAAAGGCACGGAAGAGAGGAGAGATCTGAGCTGCATCGTTACGGAAAAAGGCTAGGTCAAAATGGGCGAGGAGATTGAGGCAAGGGGACTTCGCCAGGGAGACGTGATCGCGTTAACAACAACTGCCGGAGAAAGGTGGGCGTTTCGAGCGATCCGGTTTGAATAAGTAGTTACCGGCCTAATAGTAGCGCCGGACTGTGACGATCGTTGAATACCAAAATTTCGACTAGGCACGCCGAGTCACGAGCAGATTGGTTAAAGAAGGGACGAATTCAGGAGGGTTGCTGGGTTCGCACAGCTTGCGGACTTTAGTTTAGATCTATAAGATCAAACTGCTATAAACATCTCAATCGATCTCGTAGACTCCTTGTTATTATTTCGTATGCCGCCATTGAATATAAAGCTGCTTTTTCCCCCCTTTGACCGGTCATCGCTCTCTTCAATTGTCAGTTTTTTTTCCCTGTCCATCACGTATAGAGAAATAACTTTCGAAATGTACACCGCAAGTGACCTCAATTCGTATGAAACTACTAGATAGATTTCTCTCGCTACTGAATTTCATACGCGAGAAACGGTATTTTATTGCGAGGAATTGTATTGTATGTAATTATCGCAAATTTTTTTATTTAACTAACTCAATCAGGCTTTATCGATAACGGATTCCATTCTTCAATGAATTCTTTACGAAATATTCTATGCATGATGCAAATAGTTGTTGTAGAAACAAGAAAAATTGTATTTTAAGAGAAATGTGTCTAAAGTTATCTTACAAAATATTAGATGAAGAAATTAATATTTCATTAAAGTTTATTGAATAAAGCACTAGTAATTTCAAATGCATTTCTTTTCGTAAAATATTTTTTTCTGCTCTTTTTTTTCAACCATCAATATTTTCTGCTTCATCGATCTAAGCAAAGCGATCTAAGAAACAAGTGAATAAGATCGAGGAAACGTCAGCATCTTTTCTTTTTCTTTTTCCTGAAATTACAGAAAGATGAACATTGGACATTTCCTCGTTTCAAAAATATCAGGATTTCCGTGCGACAGAGAAAACGAAACGTAGGTTATCAAGGTTACAATTTCCGCAATTTTCATGGTATCATAAATCTCAGAGGCATGAAATCTCACAATAATGAATTCGTCGTGAACTAGTAAAAGGATCGGAATAGCTTTTCTTCGATTCCAAGAAGTTACTTCTTTGTCAATTCATCCAGTGGGTTACGAGTCTTATCAAACTATAAGTAAGGAGTGGTTTACGAGACTGGTTTGTGGTTCTTTTAAATTTGAAACTTCCTGCTATCAAGGAAGTCGGTTTATACGTCCATCGTTGGAAATTTTATCTTTTAATTTTCTATTTTCTATTCCACTGTTAACTTTTCATCCTTCATGAAAAAATTATACATCTCGGTAAATGTGAATGTCTGTGAGTAAAATATCACTTTCCATTTGCGGTTGAAAATTATACGGAAGCAATGGTACCGCAAAGATTACAAGAGAAAATTAATAATTGTAATATGGAATGTCATAAAAAATAGATAAGATTTTCTTTCAATAGAATTCAATTTTCAATCGTTCGAGATTTGTTGATCGCTTATAAGTATTGGTAAAGTCTGTGATCTCGTAAAAAATTTCATAAGTGCAGATATCGTTGAAAACTTGTTTTTCTTTTTAATATATATACACGAAATAATAAAAAAGAATAAAATAGAAAAGATCTTTTCTCTCTCTAGTATTTAATTTTCGACCGTTTTGCGCTTGTAGGTATCAAATGTGCGGGCTCGGCAAAAATCGCTGAGTAGAGACCTTAATTCCATCGGAGACTACCTTTTTTAAATGCAATACGTAATACAAATAAAAAAATTCTTCAACACCGTGACGGTAGTCCCGTGGACGATGGTTATTATCTCTTCACAAATTACATCGAGGTAGCGTACCAGGGCTTTTGGTCTCAGCCGTGATAAACCCATCCACTCCTATCCTCCGTCATCCTTCCTTCCCTCCTCTCTTGCCTTCCCAACCCCTGACTCTATTATTTTCAACCGCCCAACTTCTGATATACCACCTGCAACCTCATTTACCTAGCTACTGTATGTACGTTAGACAACACTTATTACCTGGGTAATACAATCGCATAATGCGCCCCTCGTCTTCGCGCTAACGATAATACCTAATTTAATAGCAAGGAGGAACGTCACAGACTCGAGTCTAACGAGATATTGTCCGGATGTTACGCATCGTCGATCGAATTAATTTACAATTATGATTATAGCGATATCGCTTGTCCAAGCGTGTTTTCGCTTTGAAACATGAATTTATATTAGTCGCTATGATCTCTATCTATATGCTTCAAAAAGTTGGGCGAATTTACGAGTTTAAATTCGAGTTTAGAATCTTATTTCTATACACTTATTGTAACACCTATTGTACTTTAGATTTCCATTAGGTTAGAATGGAAAGTAACGCACTATTTCGAGTTACGTGTATTCGAGTTCTATGAATTAGTAAAAATGAAATATCAACTAGAATATTTTTCTGAAATTTTGTTTAAATTGAAGTTCTTATCTACTCACGCATTTCATCGTATACTTGTTATAATATATATTAGCTCCATAGTCTCTGATGCTTGTTTATCTTAACATGATAAAAATGTTCAACGTAAAAAGTTGATGACAGAGTGACTAACGAGGAAAGTTTGGCAACCTGCAAATTCGAAAATAAAAGAATCGTGTACAAACGTATAGAATAGTTCGACTCTCTACCGTGCAACTATTTTCCGTTGCGTATAAAAAACGGATTTAGAGCGTGAAAAAATCAACTCCAAATTGGTTGGAGAGTACAACTGCAGAATTTAACGATATTGTAGAATTATTCGCAGGTATTTGAAAACAAAATCGAATCGCAGTTTCCTTAGCTTCAATGTGATTATTACGGTTGATAAGTATGTGGCTAATTAATTCATGAAATATGCAAGTTGCATGCTTGAAGAGTGTTGAAACGTGAGTATTAACCGCTTAACGAGCTCGTGCGACCGTACCACGTGTTGCAGGGTTTCTTTGTACATATACGTGTATATGTGTGCACATACACACACGCGCGCGCGCGACACACACACACACACACACACACACACACACACTCATGACCATATATACGTGCATTATGGCATACATTGTGCGTAGGAATGTATTGCAGAGAAATTGCGGAGGACGATCGATAGTTGAACGCAATGAGCTGCTGTAAGCTCTTCTCTACGGTTGGTCGTGCTTGAATCAGTAATTCTCGCGTTTAGCACACAATCCTTTGGGTATATTTGATGATTCGGCCAATCTAATATAATCATGGAAGAAGTTATCTCTCCCTTCTTACTGAACCCAGATTATGTTTAAGATACATAAACTTAAGATTACTCTCACCTTCTTACAAAGCGATGCTTAAAACGAGCATTTTTAAACCAGTTTTAAACTAGATAGGTGTTGTTTGTCCAAGATTTATGAAATTTTTGAGGCTTGCGAAAGAAAGAAAAAAAATTTTTCGTAAGAAGAAAAAAATAAATTTTTTCTTATTATTCTACCATGAGAATTTTTATCTCATTGCAAGTCATTCTGTGTAGCTATTCAGAAACGAAAAAATTTTCCTAATGGTAAGAATAAAAGAAAAGTTTTTTAAGAAATCTATCAGAGAACTGGAATCGTATTCTATATA